TTAAAAAAAAAAAAAAAAAAAAAAGATTGTTCAAATAAATCCTGTCTTTTAAACTTTCTAACACTGATAATAATAAGAAAGGTTTCTTGAGCACCTGTATATCATGTGATACTGAAAACTGGAGTAATGGCTGCTGACAATTTAGCTTTGCCATTACAGGAATAAATTAAAATTTAAAGTATATTACATTTACAGTTAGTCATTTAGCAGACGCTTTTATCCAAAGTGACTTACAAATGAGGACAATGGAAGCTATCAAAATCAACAAAAGAGCAATGATAAGCAAGTACTATAACAAGTCTCAGTTAGCTTAACGTAGTACACATAAGCAAGTTTTTTAAAATTATATAATAAATAAAAAGAAAACAGATAGAACAGAAAAAGAATAGAGCAAGCTAGTGTTAGAGGCCTTTTTTTGCTTTTGTTAATTGTATAATAAATAAAAAGAAAACAAATAGATAGAATACAAAAAGAATAGAGAAGATAGTGTTAGTTTTTTTTAAAGAAAACAATCAGTTAGTAAATTAATAGAGTGCAAGTCTAAAAGTGCAAGTCTTTTTTTTAAAGAATAGAATTAGAATAGAGAGTGCTAGAGTTAGAGGGTCAAATAAAGATGGAAGAGATGTGTTTTTAGCCGATTCTTGAAGATGGCTAAGGACTCAGCTGCTCGGATTGAGTTGGGCAGGTCATTCCACCAGGAGGGAACATTTAATTTAAAAGTCCGTGAAAGTGATTTTGTGCCTCTTTGGGATGGCACAATAAAGGACGTTCACTTGCAGAACACAAGCTTCTAGAGGGCACATAAGTCTGAAGTAATGAATTTAGGTAAAGGGGTGCAGAGCCAGTGATGGTTTTGTAGGCAAACATTTGATGGGAGGAAAAATTATATTATATGTACGCGTAATTGCATCGCTTTGACCGTAGATCCCACCTTCTCACACGCCATGATTGGTCCATTATGTACAATGCTTGCATGTTATTGGTCAAACTACTTTTCGATCATTACCTTCAGCAAGCATGAAAACAAAGCCAAAACAAATCCTGGCAAGGACGCGTCCTGGGAAAATGGCACGTATGGTCACCCTAATATACATACTACTATTCAAAAGTTTGGTGTGAGTCTGATTTATTTTTTGAAAGAAATAAACAGTAGTATGGAAGCCCGTTTCCACCACTGAATTAAAAAAAAAAAAGGTTATTGCGACTTTTTATCTCACAATTCTGATGAATCTTGCTGCCATGTTCTGGATTAATTGTAAAAGTTGATAGAACTGGATGGAAGACCTGCCAAGAGAGCATTGCAATAGTCCAGCCTGGATAGAACAAGAGCTTGAACATGGAGTTGTGAAAACTGCTATTTTAAATTATAATAATATTTCACAATATTACTGTTTATATCGTATTTTTGATCAAATTATTGCAGCCTTGGTGAGCATAAGAGATTCTTAAAAAATATTTACTTACCAACTCCAAAGTTTTAAAAGGTAGTGTACCAACTTTATATATCTAAACATCAATATATATTTTTCTTCAGCTGCTCCCATTAGGGGTATCAATATACATTTACTTTCCTCTATTTTCATTGATTTTTATTTTTCCCAATGAAGATAAATATGTCCCTAAATGTCATGTTTAAAAAAAAAAGTTTATCAAATGATCTCTTCTTGATTGTCAAAGGCCTGGCTATTCACTGTGTAAAAGCAAAAAAACAGAGTTTTTATTAACAAGTGAACATCCTACAAAACTGTTTGGGTCTTACTGTCTGATGTTCTTGATGAGGGTCTCCATTATCTCCTCCCAGCCATAGGCCTTCACCGAATGCAGGTTCTCCATGATCTCTGAGGTCAGAGCCAACCGTTTGTTAGTCAGTAGCACCTTTTGTGCTCTAAAGAAAAGCAGAAAAAGGCATAAAATTGGAATGATGTGTCTGTTCTTACAGAACTTCACATCCTGTACATAATAAACTTCAATGTGGGTGTTCAATACATCTGACTAATGTCTACGATGACGTCTCATGAGTGAAGGCACTGAATACAGACAATATACATACTGATTTAAACTTGATTGTGAGTTTTTGTGTGTGGCAATCTGTCTCAGCAGCGGTTCTGACCGACATTGTTTACATTTCTCAAAGGCACAAGGCTAACCAGCCTCCTGATTACAGGAGCAGAAGTGAACTACCTGTCCAAACTCTTCAAAACCTTTAACCAGCATGAATCACAGCTGGAATGTGTGTTTCTGTGGGAGCATAGTTTGAGGGATATCTCTAAAACAAAGCTGTGCCAGTTTGAGTCTGACAATGGGAATATCTTTGGGCAAGATTCACTTTTTGGTGTTAGGATGTAGGATAACAGCAAATTTTAAGACTTACTTGTAAGGACCCATTTTATGTGAGAGAAAGGCCTGCAAGACACCCAGCAAAGAGATAGCGGCAAGTGCACAGAAGCTATTGACATCAATGAGTTCCCAGATAAGCCCTGTACACAGGATGCATTGCAATGGTGATATCCATACAAAATGGGCCATACCCAGGCTCTATACCAAAAAAAAAAAAGAAGAAATGCAACATGCATTGTATTAAATTTTAGCAATTAATGAAAAATTAAAGCTTTATTTATTTATTTTTAAATTTATTTACGTCAAAGGCTGACACCTAGGAGCTTCTGCACATTTGCAGTGGTACAAAACATAACAAAACCCTCTCACACATTCCAAGGAAAGGACACTCGAAGAACCCACATTGAACAAAGGTGCTAATTGCTTCAGACCACTTACAGAGTGTATCAATATTCAGCACATTGGCTCTACCTTCTTAGGACGTTCCAGAGTTTAGCTACGCTCCCCACTGAAGCATTATGTTAAATTTAATGCTCAGCCAACACGTTAGCAGCAGTATATTCATCTCTAATGGTCAGCCTCTTTACAAATTGGCCATATACATTAGGGTGACCATACGTGCCATTTTCCCAGGACGCATCCTGGCCAGGATTTCTATATTGCCTAAAATATCTAGGTTTTGGCTTTGTTTGCGTGTGCATACCGATCGGTGTATGACATCAAAGTACCATACAGACGGTTATGCTTTCGAAACGCTCTCGAGGTACTTTGATGTCAAACACTGATCGGTCTGAGCCGCACTGCTTTTAAGTCGAAAACACCTAATATGTACGCGTAATTGCATCGCTTTGACAGTAGATCCCACCTTCTCACACGCCATGATTGTATAAAGTCAGAATTGCGAGATATAAAGTCAGAATTGCGAGATAAAATTCTGACCTTTTCTGACTTTTTTTCTCGCAATCGCGAGTTTATATCTCGCAATTCTGACTTTATAACTCGCAATTGCGTGTTATAAAGTCAGAATTGCGAGA